AGACGACTTCGGCATACGCATTTACCCATTAATACTTACGGGGCAAATGGCCGAGAACGACGAGACCGACGTAGGAAGATTGTCCTTGAATTTTCGCCGTGATAAATAGCTCCCCTTCGTGCTTATCATCCAATCCTTAGAATCTCTCCTAGTAGGCTTGAAACCAATAGAAACCCCACCTAACGAACGAGCGAGCCTATTCCGAGCGTGAAATAGAGCCCGTCTGGGGCTTAGAAGGCAGGCATTTTGATTGAGCTTGGCTAATACAACTTATAAGCTGGGCTTGAGGTACGTACGTCTCCGGAGAGTGTGCAAGATTCGCGGACCCCACGGGTAAACTGCTCATCCTTGCGTCTGTTTGTAGGAAGATACTGAATTCCCTCGTGACCTAGAGAGTCAAAACTTGCCGGTACTGTAAGAGCCCGCGTCGAGATTTTTTGATGGTAGGCTCCGGAGCGGCTACGCTCCAGTAGGATGCTATTCAACCAGTAACTAGATACGTAACTGAGTCAACCAGCCTCGCATACAAATACAAGCCTGCTGAAGCATAAAACCGAGCAAACCGATTATGGCACGTGATGGACCCTGCAACTTCTGATGTTGAACCTCGATTATCAGGTTGGGCTAGAAGCTACTGGTCCTATACGGTTGCCACTCGAAAACACCCTACGTGGTAACCCCTGTCATCTCCCGTTCTTGATTCAGCTTCGTTACATAGTGGGCTTACTATAAAAGTCAATTGTGTGTACTGAGATACCAATGAGAGTGTTATGGGCGGACTACGTGAGTGAGTATGAGGATAGGGCGCCAGAGGGCTTGTGGAGATGTCCGTTGATACCCTTCACTTGACGCCGGTCACGCATGCATATTAGTGCGCATATATTAGTCATTCAACATTTGAATCGATTGTCGGCTTACTACTTCTCGTATACTCATCGCCACCGAAATGGGGGGGGGGCTTGTGATCTACAAATAGTAAGAGGCTGCTGGTGCCAAACGATGCAGTACATTTTACTTCGCCCATGTGGCGGCCAATGGATACAGCTCAAAGACCGTGAACAGCCTCGTTTATCAGATCTTCCACGAGCCTCATGTATGGCTCGTCCTCGCACATTTTACTGCGTGGGACACAGGCCGTTCCAGCATGTTCTTACCGCTCATCAAGAGTATCCATTTTAGTGAAAGAGGCAAAGCGCTCAGTGAACGAGGTATAAAAGTAGCCATTCCTCGTCCTCTGCTCTCAATTCCTCGCATACTCATAGCAGACCCAATGGACCCTCTGGAGTACGACCATGGTGTTTTTGCACAGATCCAGACCGCCTTTGAGGAGCTCTACAATACCCGGGGTGAGCCCGTTGAGCTCGACGAGACGTTTGCAACAGAGTTCCTCGGTCTCACCAGCGAACATCTTACTGGGGAACGGGCCAACTTTGACGCTCAGGCTGCAACAGTCAGCTTGCAGAGCGGCAGCAACTCATTGGTTGACACCACAATTAAGACTGAGAACCTCAGCTTCGTAGCTCAGACCTCGGAGACTGTGGACCGCCGATTCTGGCGAAAACTGGTCGGATCAATCGGCAAAACTATTAAGCAAATACTATTACGGTGTATTGGTCGCGATCGAAGTTCTGCTATGCACAAGATATATAGCACCGATGGTATGCTTGCTGAAACCGTGCTGTCATCTGTATCCTTGACGAAAATTGCCGTCATCCTAGGACACAGTATTCCAGGCTATGGACAAAGCACTGGCACTCCGATAGTAAAGGAGGATGCGGCTTCACTTATGTCAAAGCGCGTCAAAGGTTTTGTGGTGATGGTTGTACACGACGATGCTTGGACTAAGAGGTTCTTGGTAAGATATAGTTACACAGTATGTTGACAGGAGAATTGACGAAACGTAACTACATCCTGGAACATTAGTTTATCTGTAAGAAGTCGTTTATCGTGTGTCTTCTGGGCTTATTGCTTAACATCCTTTTGTAGCATCTCAACCCTACCAAGGGATTAATCAAATGATAGGTGATGGCAAGTGGGAGTAGATTTGGATGCTCTATGAGCGGTCTATCCAGTATAAATAAGAACTGATAGGTCTCGGATGTCTGAAATTGGGCACAACGGAATCAACAAATGCTTTATAAACTTCTGACAGCGGGTGGTACTCTACTAGAATAAAAAGATGCTGCGTGGCGCGGTTCTACATCGCAAATGTCTATCGTCGAGTGCGAAACAAGCTAGTGCTACTACTTGCCCCATTCCCCGCCACCGCCAACCGGTATGCACGCGGCCCTTAGTCTCTCAGTCATGCTTTCAACAGCTTTGGTTGCTGTATAACTTAACGCCCGCATATATGCTAAGCCGCCAACTCGTGCTGCCATTTGTTACGTGCGTCCAGATTAGATTTGGGAGTGACATTGAAAACCACTTAACAGTTTGGTGTAGCACTATATAAGGAGCAATGATACTGGGAGATCGAAAAAGTCAGCCTTCAGCGTTCAATAGATGCCATCAGGCAACACAGAATGGGCTAGGACATCAGTCTGGCGGGCCGGGTTCGAGCAGAGGGATACTCATCTGACGAACAGTAAATGGTGGTTGATATTTAATAAAAACAGCCTGATTAGATCAACTTCGTAGGTCGTAGGTCGTAGGTTCAACTCCCCTTGGCTGTTGCGATAAAAGCTACTGCGGCGGACACCGGAAGATAATGGCCATGTATGCGTCTCGCGTGGCTGTGCAGTGCACAGACCACTTCGGCTACGTTATATAACCCTCCCACTCGGAAGCAAAAATTTCCTACAGTCAACTCGGTCCCCACAGTCAAACGTACTATGCACTCCCGAAACGGCCTGGCTTGGGTAGTCTAACGGGTTCGAGGAGAGTATCCCACAAGACTCATCGCTGGGCATGTCGTTGTCCGTTTTGTTGCTCTATTGGATTGGCGACTAATCAGCGTTGGGTGCATTTTTTTCGGTTTGGATGTTGTGTGCATGTTTTGTGGGTTTGAGATGTACTGGTATTTGTAGTGGATGAATGCAACACGGTTCTGAATTTTTTCTACCCTATTTCTTGCTCGAGGGTGGTTGGTTTGCCGCTCTGGGTCGGTGGGCCATCTCGAACAAGGTGACGAGATTGGTTCATTTCTCGGTTCGTTTAAATCCTTTCTTTTTGCTTCAAGGACGTCCCGCACCATCGAACTTGTCAATCCAAAATATGATTACATCAAATTATACATAAATTTGTAGATCCTCTACTGCTCGTTGACAAACACAGCGGCCATACCCATACCCGAGCCGATACACATGCTGGTAACGATGATACGCTCATTGGTGCGCTTAGCGTGGGCAAATGCAGTAGCGACTTGACGTGCGCCGGCTAAACGAGGGTAAAGTTAGGTTGATTTTATCGGTTGCGCGAATGGAAGTGAGTACGTACTGCATCCGAGAGGGTGTCCCATGGCGATAGCTCCACCGCTGTGAAGATGCAGATGTTAATAGGAGAAAACGTAGAATACTAGCGTGGAATACGTACTTCGGGTTCACTTTCTCGATAGGGATACCGAGGTGTTGGATGGACATGACAGCCTGGGACGCAAACGCCTCGTTGATCTCGAAAAAGTCGACCTCGGAAAGCTCCAGACCGGCCTTGGAGAGGACCTTGGGGATCGCGAACGCCGGGCCGACACCCATAATCTTGGGCGGAACTTTTTCGAGCCGTCAATAAACACTCGAAAAATAACACAATAAATATGGCGTACCTCCAACAACAGCCGAGGTCACAAACTTGCCCAAAATCGGCAACCCAAGTTTTTGCGCAACACTTCGTCGGGCCAAAAGCACGGCAGCAGCGCCGTCCGAAACCTGGCTCGCATTCCCAGCATGTGTCGAACCGGTTTTCGAAAACGCGGGCTTGAGCTTGGCCAAACTCTCCGCAGTCACACCCTCGCGGACGCCATCGTCCCGATCCACGACAATCTCCTTCTCCTCCCCGGTCTTGGGATCAACCAACTTGGTTTTAACGGGGACAATTTCGGATTTGAAGTTGCCTGCTTTTTGGGCCGCAGCGGCTTTCTTGAACGAGTGCGCGGCAAAGGCGTCTTGGGTCTCGCGGCTGATTTTGAATTGGGCTGCGACGTTTTCGGAGGTGATACCCATGGGAATGAGGCAGTCTGCCGATTCCTGATTGGCCATGACTGCATCGGAAAAGGCGGCGGGCATGACGCCGGCGCCGTATCCGTGGGTCATACTCTCTACGCCAGCACCTATAGCGAACTCATAATCAACAAGGATGTAAAGATGAACAGTAGAACAAATACTCACCAATGCCAATGTCAATCTGCCCAGTGCTAATTTCGTTGGCGATTTGGCTAACGGCTGTTAAACCAGAGCTGCATTGTCGGTTGACGGTAAAGACAGAACTCGAGTTGGGAATCCCAGCATGGAGAGCGGCCATTCGTGCTGCAGTAGCTCCTCCACCGGGAGGTAAAACATTACCGACCGCGACATCTTCAATCAGCTTCGGATCAAGCTTGACAGAGGTATAGACCGCCTTCAAGACATTGCTCAACATCTCCTCGGGAAGTGTGTCCTTAAACCCTCCTTTCTTGGCCTGGAATAATGGTATGGTTTAGCTAGTGGCGAGAACGATACGACTAGTAATTAAAACCCACCTTGGTGATGGCCGTTCGGAGGGCAGAGACGACAACAACGTCGTTGGGAGACTGGGAAAGGATCTGAGACTTGGCCATTCTGAGTGGTGGTGGAGGTGGTAGAGGTGGTAGAGGTAGAGGTGAAGTGTGGAGATCCGGGGCGCGAAGAGAGGCTCTATAAAACTGTCGGGTCACTCAGCAGACCGGCAAGGTGACCCCGAATTGAACCTGGCATTGACCGTCATAGCCGGTTTCACGTGTGTGGTCTGCATGTGAAAGAAACAGAACGTCTTGTGATAGGTGGTCTCAGTTCATGGTAGGATGTAATGGATTGGTGAAGCGCTTCAACCAATCTCCTATGGCGCAATTGGTGGCGCGTCTGACTGTTAAACACTAGGTCATGGCATCAGAAGGTTGTTGGTTCGATCCCAACTGGGAGAGCTTTTTGTCTGTACGTTAGGCACTTGCTTTACTTGGGTTTTGGTGGCTCAGTTTGATATCTCGTAACTACGAGTGAGAAGTAAGAAGACATTTGTTTTTGCGTTGACATTTTCATTAACATGTGACAGCGAGGGCAGTTACTACGGGTGGTACATGAGCATATTCGCTGGTAAATCAAGTGCGAATATCAGCTGAGATTCTCGCCGATAGGGAACTCCACATGTTCACCGTACACTACCAGCCCAATTCGTTCGCGTAGCCAATCGAGTCTGGTTCCTTGCCCAAGTTCGATGATGTCGTCGAGGCCCTTGACGTCCGGTCCGATTATGATCTTTTCTGGCTGACGAGTTTCGATAACTTGTTGCATTCTGTCCCACATTGATTGGTCCATGGACATGTGTTGAACATGCAAGACCCGGAGACCATTGCGCCTCACATGGGGACCTGTACCGTCGAAGATTTTGCCCAGTGCAGTCGGCGTATGCATAGAATAGTGAGGAGCCCCGAGTGATTCAAAGGACAAGAACTGAAGGCGCGGCACAGAGTCCAGAACCTCAAGGTATTCTAAACCAAGCCTGCTAAAACCCGGCTCTTTAAAGTACAAGTAAACCGTGTTTGAACGTTTGAGAAAAGCTATAAACGCTGAGAGACCATCCTTGTCGGCGGATCCGGATAGAGCGAGCCATACCCGGGCATGAAGAGCAAGATTTCCAGGCACGAGGGCCTTCAGTATCCCGTAGTATCTCGCACTACTGGAGATAGGGCTTATTTCGACGTATTTCAGGTTTGGTAGTATGATTCTCGGATAATCTTGATATTCGATACCAGAAGCACCAACGAGCCGCAAAGTATGGAGAGCGGGGCTATTCGATAACATCCAGACAAGTTCGTCCATGTTTGGGCAAACCTGTACCGAAAGTTCTAATAGCTCGAGAACTGTGAGGCAAGGTAAACTCCTAATCGGCCAGCCGAACCAATTTGTAGACGAATAATCAGGGACGGTTCCTGTAATTGATAGAACCTGCAGTTGTCCAGGGGGACGGCAAGCAGCGTAGAGATTAAGTATATCTTGAGCGTGAACTATTCCTACGCGTGAAAACGTCAAGGAGACTGCGCGGGACATATGGGGTCGCAGGATATCGTATAGCTGAGGGTCTACATCCTCTGCGTCCTGCGGGGTGACGTGGAAGTTCAATATAGGAGCACTGCTAGCGCGCTCAAGCCATAGCACCATCCGATTTAATGATGTTGTGGTATAATCATCTTCGAGATCCACACCCACATGGACGTCAACGTGAGACCAAAGTGAGCCGAGGTTTATAGCAAGCTGACGCCAGGTAGTACAGACAGATGGAATGACCGCTAAAGGATGGACTTGGCGTTTGGTGAATGCTATGCTGGTGCAAGGCGAGGGGAGCACGGCCAATTCAAAAATTTGAGACAGAATCTCAGCAGGAAGGGGGCTATTGGGTACGAGGGTATACAATTGCTTGGTTGCTCGACCGGGTACAACCAGAGACTCTGTCGATTTTCCTTCAATCGATACAGCAAGACTAGCATGTTCGTTTAGGCTCATGGTTTTCCTGCAAGTCCGTAGAACAAGTACGAGCGCTTCAAATATGTTCCCAGTTGAGTGATGATGCGCGTGGTCCAGTCGATCGTGTTAGGGTCTAATGATTGAGCGTTCGAGAACCTAGTCCAGATACAGCAGCGAGCTGATTTACTACAGAACTCCTACAGCCTAAGTAACCTAGATGAGTCAATGCACTGTGGAGGTTTGGTGGAAGTCGTTCATGACCAGCTTTGAGGTCACGTGTACCTGTTTGGCACCCTTGCGGGCCTTCAGGCTGTAGTTTCCTTCTTAAACTCTTCCCTTGCCTTTCGTAAACTTAACTAGCCTGTTTGTTTAGTTAGTTGTGTATGTGCTGTTTGTTTCGTCTTTCGTGTCTTTCCTCGCTCTGACCTCGGCTTTGCCGTTACCTGCTTTTCTCCTCTCTGCCCCGCCCCCCTTTGTATTTCTCGTCTACGCTCCTGTCTGACCTGTGTTCCTGGGCTGTGCCCCGCGTGGTTCGACTGTATGTTCGTGTAACGCGTTATAAATGTATTCCAAAAAAAAAAAAAAAAAAGTGAGGTCACGTGCATGCAGCGCATTCAACTGCGCATAATCAACCATCTAAATATGATCTCGCAATTTGAGACTCGAGGTATCTAACTTGAGCTCGAAGCCAGAAGATTGTTAGTTCGTTTCCAACCGGGAAAGCTTTCGCTCATGCTCCGGACACTTTGGGGTTCGATTTAATTTCTCGCAGCTACCGTTGTTTAGCATGAAGACATTTTTTTCATTGGTATTCTTATCAGCGTGAGACAGCAAGAACGGCCACTACAGGTGGAAGACAAGCCTATCGTAATATCTACAAATCGAGCGCGAACATCAGCTGAGGTCCTCGCTGATGGGAAACTCCACGCGTTCACTATACGCAATCTGTCCAACTTGTTCGCGTAGCCAATCAAGTCTGGTTGAGGTTCCTTGCCCAGGTTCAACAACATGGTCGAGAGAGCTGACCTGGGGTCCAAGTATAATCTTTTTCAGCTGATGGGTTTCAACAACTTTTTGCAGTTTGTTCCACACCGACTGGGTCACGTCTGCGCGTTCAATATGCAGTACCTGAAGGTCAGCACATATCACCTGGAGCTTGCTACCCAGGCTGGCAAGTCTAGTTAAGCTATCACGGTGAGTGTTTCTAACATGACCCATAGACAGGAACCGAAGCCGTGGCACGGAGTCCAGAACCCCATTGTTTTTCAGAAAGTGGCCGCCATAGCGCGGCTCCAATAGGGATAAGTAGACCACGTTTGAGCGCCTGAGGAAGGTCACAAGCGCTGAGAGACTATCCTTATCGTATTGGGATACAGGGATCCGCACCCGAACGTGAAGAGCGCAATTTCCGGGCACGAGCGCCTTGATTAACTCGTGAGTAATTGAAATCCTGGAGATAGGATTCAGTTCGATATATTTCAAGTTCGGCAACCTGACTTCTGGAGCGCCATGATATTGCCTACGAACAGCATAGCTATAGGCGTTAATGATCCGCAAAGTATGGAGACCAGGGCTATTTGACAACACTGAGCTGAGTTCGTGCCAGCTCGGACAACTGAGCGCTTGAATGTTGTTTAGGTCGAGAACTGTGAGGCCTCGTAAAGCCTCGGTCGGCCAGACGAATCGAACCCCGGCGAGTGAGGGAGTACAAATCGTTGATATGATTGACAAAGCCCGTAACTGTCCAGGGGTGCAGGAAATGCTGCATAGATTAAGTAGATTCTGAGCGTGAACCTGTCTCAAATTTGAGAAGGTAAAGGAGATGGCGCGGGATATATGAATTCTGTCATTGTACTTTCTATCGTATCGAGTTCATCCATTTGATTATGTACGTTTAAGATTATCTCTTCAATAGCGGCGTGCCCCACGGAGCTTGAGGCAAAACCCTCGATTGCTTGGCGTAGCGTTGTGCATGCGTCGCGAAAAGAGTGCATGTTATGTTTGAGCCGATCTCGTGTGTCTCTCCATTCTTTAAACATATCTATAAGTCCAGTGGAGGGTTCATTTTGACGATCAGTGTACTAGCAGCAGGGGCTAAGGTAGGTAGTGAACCGGTCACAAATGGAGGAGTGGTCGGCTGTGTCGACGTACTTTATATAGGTGGCGTCATGCAGTTCACGTGCACGGCCGTGCCGTTACCTGCTGTCCTCCTCCCCACGCCTACTCCCCTTTGTCTCTTCCGTCTACCTTTCTTCTCTACTTGTGCTCCTGGGCTGTGCCCCGCGTGGTTCGACTATACGTTCGTGTAACGCGTAATAAATGTATTCCAAAAAAAAAAATAAAATAAAAAATGCAGTTCACGTGCGGGCACTCTCGATCACAGCGCTTTCAAGAGCGCTTATATAAACAGTTTTTTCGACCCGTTTGCATATATCTTTTGCCGGTCAGGTCCAAAGTGAGTGCTCTGAAATACAGTAGGTTTGTATCATGTTTATATGATTCTATGATCGGCGGATTCCGTGACCAGGGGTGAGATCTTGGATGCTTCTTCATTTAATAATGTACATGGAGATGGTCTAAGTATTTGTTAGCTCAAATACCTATATACACATAGTTATCGCTCGTGTATATACCAGTCAAAGCTAGTTCATATGACGAGCTATGGGTAGTCATAAAGAAAAAGCGTTCTGTTGAAGTCTTGGAACAAACTCTAGTGTATTGACTTGGTTACGGCAAGAACGAATTGGTATGTTACATATGATAGCTTCAGTTGAGTTTGGGCGTTTCTAGAGCTAAAGCGTCTAGGCATGGGCATGTCGCTTCTATGACACGGTTCAATACACAAATACGATCGGATAAAGTTGTGCTCAAAACGATGTTTCACGTGTCCCGTTTGACAATCCAGTTAGGACTTGGTAACAACAAAATCGAATTAATGAGTACAAATAGTTATTTCAGTCAGTCTTAATCAATTCTTGAACTGAAAGGTCTACGCCCTGAATGATACAAACAGGGGGAGTCTCGCGGACCACGAGTCGTTCAACATACTCCAACAGTATTGACTTCGCGCGGCTCGGTATCTGAATGGCATACAGAGGCGACCCAGGTCGGAAAAATGCATCTTCATCCGGATCCGCGTCTTCATCTTCGTCTTCGTCTGCAACTGCTTGCTCGTTATAAGACGACGGAAACCGGCACGACGAGAAAAAGAGATTCCGAACGGGTATTGCTTCCACAAAAGACATGATACGGCTCAGTAACGGCGAGTCTACCTCTTCCCCCAAAATACAAACTGATTGAAGGTTCAAAAGGGATTGAGCTGCAACATCGTTGGATAAAGCACTGAGCAGTGTATCCGCGTCGCGATTTGTACTGGACACACGCAATGCGCGCAGGTATGGTATGTTGGAGAAGAGGGATTGAACATGGTAGAGGCTCGGAGAATCAATACCCGACAAAGTCA